ATTCTAAGCTGATTTCGCGACGTTGCATATCTTAATGAGGTTTCTGTCGCGTTTTGCTACTGCTTCTATAGTTATATTAATATTGACATCAGCAGCATCGCATGCTAATTTGCATAAGAACATCGCATATAAATGCGTCGACCAATGAAGCGCCCGACGTAAGCCGTTGTATTGTACTGCGAGCTTATACCATGAAGCCTCATTGGCCGGAGATGGTTGTACGCTATGCTCTTATGTAAATTTGCCTGCGATAGACTTTAGCTTATGCTTTTACAAAAGCACAGCGCTACATAGCAATTCTTCCGTAATTTTTATGACCGAGACAATATTTCTTGTCAAAGAGGAGAAATAATTTCTCCTCTAACCGATTTTTAATTGCTCCACAGTTCTTTCTGTTTTAATTTTCTCTATATCAAGATTGAGTTTTTTAAAATTAAAATTCGAGAATAACAGAATGCTAACTGCTTGCTACAATTACGTGAAATATTAATACCTTTTATATTAGGAAAATCACATCAGATTTATTCAAAAAATATTTCTCTGAATCTCCATAGACGAGAAGCAATGTAAAAAGACTGACCTTTATACTGCACGTTATCGCTAATAGAAATGTTTCGCAAAAACATCGAAAGAAAGAATACAAATTTCACGAACCCTAAAAACGCTACCGCTTGTAAATTGAGGAATGTCACTTCGATTCACCAAGAGACGTTTGTGTTGAGGCATCTGGAAAACTTGTGAATTAAGAGATTCGTCGACGACGCGGACGAAGGAGGGAAAAGATCATTCGATTATTTCCAGCCATTAAGGGGACCCCTTCTCGTTCATCTCACTTCAGCATCGCGAGGGTAGAACGTTCCTCGCAGCTTCTTTTCGAACTTTCGACATGAGTTTTACATTTCGCGCTTGAAGAAGGGTGAAGAGGTATCGGAAAAAGGGGTGGCAACAGAGGAGAACGAAGAGGCGAGTGTAGATGGCGAAATCGAAAGTGAGAAAAGTGAGAGAAAGGTCTCCGCCGTGAATTCTTCCTCGCAAGTCGAAGGTGGGTTTGCAAGAGCAGTACATCCGACCCTCCACACGATTGGTATTCCAGTCCGGTGCGCCAATATTGCGTTACCGAAACGCGTCATGCAAGTCGAATTCAAACGACTACGAGCATGATGACACGACGCCGCTTGTAAGTCACACCGCGGCGCGTGTCTTTTAATTTGTGCCACCCTGCTCGAAATAAACATTGCGAGATGAGCGCGATTGAGACGTCACGTTCACATTAAACCATTTTTTTTTTTTTTCAATTGTCTGGGGTTGCCGGAAATGTAAAGGGCGTCGTGAGTAATGGAAAAATTACTCTTTGAAAGCTATTAACTTTAAATGTAATCTATTAGACATAAACGTTACTTACGACAAAATAAGTTCTTTCACGTAATTTTCACGTTATCTTAGCTTTCATATTATTTTTCAAGAATTACACAGGAATTTCATTGAAAAAATATTTGATGACACAAAGGATCGGCCAACCAATTAACTAATTTTCACTCGATTCTATTTCCGGTTATTCTCCGCGTATCAATTCTGGGGATTTCGATTATTAAAAGGACATCAAAGCGGAAGTGAATTGCTATTGTTACTCATTTTTAACGGAAATCTGTGCGAGAGAGAGAGAGAGAGAAAAAGAGAGATAGTTAAACAGCATTACGCTGGTGTCTACCCTGAGGGCGGACATCACAGAGGGTGGCCTCGCGCCGGTGAAAATTTTCAAAGGCTCGACATCGATGGGCGCTCGCTCGCGCGCGCATCAGAAACGCGCGACAGGACAGGACCCTTTCCGCAATTTCTCCCGTCGCGTCGCACGGGCGCGGAATCAAGTGTTTGAGATTATGACGGTGGCTCCGGTCACGTATTTCATTAACCGTCATGCCGACGGTTCGGGGAGTTCAAGGGCGAGATCTCCGGCGACGGAGGGTGCAGGTATCTGCGAAATATGTTTGCTTTGCGTTACGTCCCTCGGGATGATCCTGTTATAATTATGAATGTCGTTGTTGTTGCCGTTGTAAGTGTCTGATATCCCATCGTCGGTTTCGATATTGATTCTGTACGAATCCACACGTAGAATCAAAACGTTTCAATATAACCTTCTGTTTATCAATTGAGGATATTCTCGATACTAAATTAATATACTTTAAAACAGCTAACGATACATGAAATAAAAATAAAAAGAATTGAATATGTTTTATTTTTAAATAATTAATTTTACATATAAAAACATATAACATTTATACATATATATGTATAATGTTATATAAATACTTTATTAAATTATAAAATTATATAAATTTATAATTATGTATAAATATTGAAATCTTATTAATGAGATCAACGCCTTTTTGGCATATATTTTATGGTACGCCTCTTGGCTTTTTTTCCATGCTTTTCTAATACTTTTTCCATTGCTTCTTTCATTAATAAAGATACATACACTTACTTGGTATACTTATGTTTAATTTTACAATTGAAAAAAAATTTTTTTACAATATGTTCATTTTTACGAAAATTATAAACGATCGAATTGGGTTGGATATGTTAATACCTAGAGATTCTATAAGAGTTCGGCAAAAGCGGATAAAAATGGCAGATAGCTATATTTTCTTTTCTTCTTTCTCTTACTTTCTGAAAATGTTCGGAAAGCTATTTGAACTATATACGGCCCGAATAGAGCTCATAATTAACTTAACCAATCAAAAACATGATTCACTTTGGCTAGACTTTCATTGTAGGTTGTTACTCATATGTAGTGTGTTGTTTCTGTAGTATGGCGTTTAAGGATTAATTATCGTGCGATAATCGGTGTAGATTAACACGAGTGATTCCGTCTTAAGTGAAAAATTTTGTTTGTCAAAGCACCGCGTAAGAAACATTTCTTCGTCGAAATCTGTATCGAGAAGTCAATGTAAATCTGCGGTAGTATCGACAGACTCGTTTGCGGCTACACGCTGTAACCCCAAAGGCCGCCCCTTTGAAACGAGCAACGACAGATTGGTATTACCATATTGGGAAAGGGACTAGACTCCTTATTTTCCTATCCTTTTGCCGCCGAGGGAGAGGAAAAAAAAAGAAAGGAAGAAAACGATCGATTTCTTTCTCTGTCCTTCCGCAACAGGCGTCTCACTTCTTACCTCGATTCTCCACTTCAACCGCCTTTCCAGAGCTACGTCTTTCCGCATTCACTTTCTCTCTCTCTAACCCTCGATACATTCCTTCTTCCCCTACATTTTCTGTTTCCACGAACTTCTCGTCCGCCCCTTTTTCCATCTCGGGCTCATCCGATTCTCGTCCACGAAGATTTCAATCTTGTTTCGCCGAAGCATCGACACGTCCTCATCTTCCTCCCTAAACTGGCGGAACCTTCTCTCATAACATACGACCGTTTTTTCATCTCTTTCATCGTTCGAATCTCCGTTTGTTATGCACCGTCGAAGCGAAGGATAGCCGATCTAATGGCGTTTTTGCTATATCGATCGCTCGCGACACATCAGCCGTAGGCTCAATTCGGAATTCTCGGCAGTTTCCGCAGGAAATTCGTGAAACCCGCCTCCCAAACGAACAACCCTCTGATTTTCCCACCACCATCTCCTTTCCTATTTTCCTATATTCTCTATTCTCATTGATACTCGATATCTCGACAGTAATCAACAACCGGCCGTTGCGACCATTTAACACATAGATAGAGCCCTTTTTAAAAATGGCCCTGCTTGGACCCAAGCATTGTTTTCCGACGCAGGAAAAGTCTTTTCCAGTCTATGAATACATTAAGAGCAAACAAAGGACCACCTTCCATAATCTCACGACCCCTTTCTTTCCCCCTGCGTCTTTCTCCTTGATTTTCACTCTAGAGATGTTACACGCGTTTATTAAACCCGGCCCGCCAACGCGCTTTCTTAAGCACTTTTACGAGAACCCGGCCGAGCTCTTCGTTCTGTCCTGTAAAAGCTTGACGTACCATCTCTTTCTCTCGTCGCAATATTATTTCGAAACAGACGTAATTAAAATCGCGTCTACTTAGACATCTTAAAGCTACATTGAAAACGCGAGTAATTAATAATTAGTAATTTAAATGTTCGACACCATTTTGTAGTACGAATATGAATAGTCATTTTTTAAACATATTTTTACCCCCTAAACATGAATTCGTTGACAAAAACTAACACGTCACAATTTAGAGAAAAATGACGCCAAAGAGGCAAAAAAGGATTATTCAAATTAAGAAAAAGATGATTTAAAGAATTTTCATGATGTTCATCGGTAGAAAATTTTTTTCTAAATTTCATTTATATGAAAGTCATGTAAAAGTATCTTTTAGCTTAAATTCATTTTGATTCGTTTCGGTATGATTTTTTGTTTTAATATAGAAGACAGTTTGAAGAAAGCTTTTTCTCATGTAATAAAATAATCCGACAAAATTTGGCATCATGTCACAATTTTGAGAATATGAAAACTAAAGAGGCAAAAAAAAAATACAATTTTGAGAGTTTTTATAACGTTATAATACGATACCATTTTTTTTCCTAAGAACTATTTTCAAATTGCTATATCTTGAAAATAAAAAATCATATCGAAACGAACCAAAATGCATTTTAAAACTGAAAATTGATACGTGTACGTACGTAGCATTAATGAAATTTAAAAAAAATTTGATACCGGTGATACAATGTCATTAAAACTCTCAAAATCGCTTTTGCCTTTTCAAATTTTTTTAAATTATAATGTGATAGCTAATTTCGATAACGAATTCTTATTCAACAGGCAGAAATACATTGAAAATGACTATTCACATTTGTGTTGAAAAAAAAGGTGTGTTGAATAGTTTTAATAGAATCAATTTAAAATGTTAATCACTAAAAGTAGATCAAAGATGAAAACAATATTTTTTTAAATTATTATTTTTAGTAATTTAATGTTTGTAATCATGAAATGTATACAGATCGTTTGCAATTTCTTTCCAGACCGAGATCTGTTCGAGCGCTCTTACAGATGTAATTCATGCGGTCATTAATGGAACGGATGGCTGCTTATTTTGTTTTGGACATGCCGGTTTGGGTAAGTTTAGAAATTATAAATTTGACTTATATTTAAATACATCTAAATTATATTTTTACATAAGAATAAAAAAACTATACGATATCTTACACTGAATAAGAAAAAAATAATTAACGAGTTACGTTTGCTTGAATTAAGATTTTAAATTGTTTATGTAAGCATTTACGTGATTTTTTTAGTCACCTTAATTTTTTAAATTAAATTATCATTAGGCAGGTAAACATTCAATACTGTTTTGCACATTCCTCTTGATCGAAGAATAAAATTCACTAGCGTATCAATATACACGATATCCGTTCTTGAAGGAAATGTCGCAAAAATTCTTTATTTAGATGTTTTTTCCTTTGTTCACTTGACATCTTTTCGTTGTGCTGCCGCAAGGTAGGAACCTGGTATATAGAGGCGCAGAGTTGTTTTACATTTTAAGTAGTAATATCGAGTTTGCATGCAAATGCATGATTATGCATGGAAAGTGCGCGGAAGAGAGAATCCTCGGGTGGTAATGTCGGTGCTGAAAGAGAGTGAGAAAAGGGAAGGAACTGAGAACAAAGAGGAATAGAAGAATGAAGAGTGAAGAAGCGAGACCGGAAGGAATGGTGATAATGTATGCCACTGGGACACACTTTCTCCCTCGTACCTTTCAAATTTTAACATACCACAACCCAAGAGACTGTCCGCAGTCCTGTCGTCATCACGCGCTTTCTGCGCGAAAACGATTTTAAGACTAATGGATTTAGAGAGAACATCTTGCATAAAATATATGTTTTGAAAAAACTGTCATAATTGAAATATGTATTCCCATTTTAAACACATATTCAAATATAGAATGGATATCACAGCGTCTATCTCTTATTACTTTGTTTTATTCAAATATACATTTAAATACATATTTAAATGCGTATTGAAAATTTTCATATAAAGTTGTAAACATAAATACTAAAGAGTTTATTAAAATTGTTCGCAGATTTAGATTCTCTTTAACATCTTATTATTAATATTCTTATGGTATATAAAGATGTTTATTAGCATAGAAAAAATTATTAAATTGTTTTGTCAAGTGATATTACTCTGGTTCTATATACGAATATGTTTCAAGACCAAAAAAGATTCTCATATAAAGAAATATTACTTTTTTTAAGTTTCTTATTTAATTAAAAAATTAAATTCCTTATTCGTTATATGTATATAACTTATTTTTATAATTTATATTGCCTTGATTTTTATACAATTTTATATGTGATATATATAATCAAAATAATCATGTCCAACAATAAATTTGTTTTATAATTATAATCGTAGACGATGTTAAAATATTTTTAACATTGACTAGAATAAAATTCAAATAAACTTCTGCTTTTACAGTCGGTATCAGAACCAATTAAACTACATGGAATATTTCTGTCTGAGTTTCTTTTAGCATTATATAAAGATGTAAAATTTAATGTTAAAAGGAATTCAGTGAGAAATATTTCATGAAGATTATAAATGTATCTTTAATTATATACCTTTCTGAAAGATTTTTTATATTTGACATATAAATAGGAAGATGGAAATTTATCTGGATGCAGAGTGTAAGATAATATTAATTAAATAAGGCAGATACAATTATAAAATATTCACGGAAATTAAATTAATCTGAAACATGAGTCGATAAATAGTTCTCCTCAATAATTATTCATTATTTTAAATTCACATGAATATAAAATGACACAGAGAAATGCTATTTCTAAAATTAACTTCGTCGCATAAACTTAGAGTTTCTTCAGCCATTAGCTGGCTTCTATCGTTCTTGAACCGATACGGTTTCATAATTCTGCAGCGCATTGAGAAATTGTCGACTTTCAGTGCCGAAGTTCTTACAGTCGAGCGGGATTTCTTGCAACGCGGGAAAGGGGAATCGATAGAATCGAAAATAAAATAAAAGGAGGCGCATCGGAAAGATAAGAACCTAACGGCCGTAGACAAAGAGTTGCGTAAAAGGAAGCCAAACGAATTCGCACAGTGTCTTCCCTCTCTTTTTCAAAAGTACTTCAAGCAAGTCCGCAAGCAAACTGCTTTTGATCATCGTTATGCGAACGTTTCTCTCGAATTTCCCTGTACTCTCCATCGTTTTTCTCTCTGTTCCAACTCCTTCTCTCAGTTTCTATCTCTCTTCTTTTTGTATCTCGACACTCTCTTATCCTTTTATATCATCGTCTTCTGACGCAAAAAAAAAAGACGAAGAAAAATGAAAAAGCGGCAGCGATTAGAACAGTGAGAGGAATAAGAAAGGCGACATGGAAACCAGGAGGAAGATCAGATTTACACAGATCTGCGAGATGAGAAGAAGACAGCACGACAGAGGCAGTCAGCTCAGCAATTTTTTAAATGACGACCAGCCCATATCTTTTACTTCACGCCAAGCAATCGCCGATGAAACCGAATGCATTTCGATCACGCGCGCACGTCTACCGTTCTGAAAAGTTGCGTGTAAAAAGTGTGCGGAGAAGCCGTGTGAGACAGAAGATGGAGAAAGATATAGACACGCGAGAGAGTGTCGAAGGAGAAAAGCAAAGGATGAGAGAGATTTGCACTTTCAAAGCAACAGGACTCGTCCTCTTACGAAAGGACAGAGGGCGGACGGAGATACGTATATGTATATCACTACATATATACAGATATATACAGATATAGAGACAACAATGGGCCCGTTTGTACTTTGTAGCGCGTTTCCTAATTACCCCCGCGCGCGGGGATCCCACAACTGCGGACACTCCGACGGAACCTTTGAGATCGCGGAAGGACCGTGAAAGTGGATTATGCAACGACGGTGAGGGGAAGAAGCACGCGTGCTTGATGCACTGAGATTTCCCTCTCATTCCTCTCTCAAAAACATAAAGCTTTTACAATAATAACCTTGGTAAGCGATTCAGTCAAAGGGACTGTGGCGCAACACGCTCCTCTCGTTCTACGCAGCCAAGAAAGGATTTATCTGATTTTTAATAATCTCGCACGCATATAAATTCGTGCAATTCATATATTATTTTTATTCGTATTAATCCTTATAAAGACATATGTATATATATATTCTCTATCTTTTTCTCTCCTTAATCTTTTTAATATTTCTTTGATATTCTAACTAATAAACACGCAATTTCTATCATGCGATTTGTATTGGCGCTGACGTTCCTCGCGTATACAACGAGGTATTCGAGCGGAATTTTAATTATCAGTCGCATTTCCATTTCAAAGTATCCTTATGCTGGAGTGTTATACCAATCGTCTGAGAATGCAGCAGCTACCGCTTCGTTTTTCTACATCGTCGTCAGCGACCTCGTGAATCTCGTGGCGGCATAGCGTGAATTCTTGCGGAATTTTTGCGGTTCGACCGCTCGAATCTTGCCAACGAAGCGCGAATTCTCCAAAGTGGAACCGTTGAAAAGTTTCTGAGACGCAAACGCGGTCCGTTACCGGCGAGATAGGCCGACCCTCTCCTTTGCCGCGTTTCTAATTAAATAACAACATAATTCACCGTTTTACATTAAGACAATTAAATAACGTTTAAGATTCAACAGCGGCTGCTGCTTTTCCATTACTCCACCATTGCCGACGGGGACTTCCCTCTGCCAGGATCTTACGCCTTTCGCTTCAATCTCTCGTCCTCCGTATCGCAACCTTCTCCTCGTCTGCCATAAGTCGTCTCTCCGTTCTCATCAGACTGTTTTATGATTTTAATAAGAGCTCTTTTATTTCTCTGTCAACAGCAGAGCGTTTGAGCTCGACTTTCAATTTTGCCGAAACTTCAGTGCTAAAAACTTTCGCACAATATGTGCCGTTATCAGAAGTTTGTGCTGAAATTGTCGTTAAACACACAGCCGAATTGTACTTTATTATGCGATTTGTATCCCATTATTGTCATTCGAATGAATTAATTTTAATATTTATTTCACACCGTTGCGAAAAGCGAAATAACAATCGATCCTTTCGCCGTGCATCAACTACTTGGACATAATCGCCGGTTGTCATTCTAGCCGTTACGTTGTCGTCCACTAAATAGTAAACAAATTAAGCGGTCCGCTCGAGCCTGACCACAAATCTGGCAACGCAATTATTGCACCTATTCGGCTCGCGCTCCGTTCGTATACATAAACAGGATTTTCGAACTCATCCATGTGAATTGATTCGTCGCGACACACGAGGGGGAAAATTGCGATTATGCCAATCAACAATGAAGCTTGTCCACATACCAGTCGCACCAGCGGCACGGTTACGGGCGTTAATTCGATCTCTACGTCAATAAATCTGTCAGTCTGGCAAGGATCATTCGAAATATTAGCTTTGATCCGTCATCGCTTCTATTGACAAGAGGGTGGACATTGGACTTTCAATATGTTATCTCTAAATATTTTATCTCGACAGTTTTTAATTTGTATATGGATTAGAGTAACTATATAAATACAGAAAAAAATCCTGGAACGTATATTTAAATTGTACGAGTATCATGGAATATGAATAAACAGGCAGTATAAGCGCGGACAATAAACTAGTTATAATTAATTCAAATTGGTAGTGTAATTTTCGTCTACGCGATTTGCATTTACATTGCACGTTTAAACACTGAATATCACTTCCTCCGACATGATTCCACGTTTAGGTTGCCTGTAATTCGCAAGCATCCGCTATCTTTAACAAATTTCTTCTTTCTAATTTAGGTAAGTCTCATACTATGCTGGGAACTCCGGAGGCTGGCCATACACTGGGCGCAATTCCTTGCGCTATAGCGTGGCTCTTCCGCGGTATTTCGGAACAACGACAGAGAACCGGCGCCAGGTTTAGCGTTAGGGTCAGCTGCGTGGAATTGACCACTGGCCAGCAACAATTGAGGGACCTGCTTGCGGCGCACGCGAACGGTAAGTAATCTTCCCGATAGTCAAAGTATTCACGAATGAAGGAGTCCATACTTTTCGTTTTCCTAACCAATTAATATTATCTATTTATTGTCAATTATCATTAATCACAATAATTATAATAATCGTGTTATGAATACTCATCTGTCATTTTTGCGAAGTTTGGATAAAGTTTAAAAAACTTTTTCTTATACCTTTGTACAAAAATACTTAAAATAAAAATTAATAGATTATATTTCTATACAGAGTTAGGTGCTCAATTCAACAGGAAAAACATGCGTGGGATTATAAAAAAGTAAATATTAAGAAACTACAACAATTCGAATCTATTATACATCGTTCCAATTTATTCGAAATTTTATGCAACTTTGTTAATATAGTTATTCTATCTTATTTGCTGTCTTCGTCAGATTAAATCGCAATCAGACTTGCGCACTTTCTGATTGAAGAAACTTACGTGCTCTAAGAACCATTTGTCAAGAATTATCCCTCTTTTTAAGGGATAAGACGGGAAATGCGGGTCTCAGAAATAGAACCGAATCGGTTCTAATCTCTAGAGTGCGGCTGAAACTTTCTCAAGCGTTTCTGCTTTCCTACGATAGAGAGAGTTTAGCATTTCCCGCAATTAATTCGATGCTTCAAACAATACGGCCATAATCGTTTAGATTAATTAACGCCATGGTAGCGCACGGCACGGTAGATAAATTGTATCATCGCGACGACATTGTACATCCGATATGTAATCCTTGCGCGATAACTCAATTGATTTATAGATCATAATTCTAATCGTATCCAAACACACGAAGAGTCACGTAATCAGAATTAATGCACGCTATACGATGATTGCAGTTATTGACTAATACGCCTGTCTCTCCTGTTGAAGTATTTAAGTCAGAGTGTCAGAGAAACAATTCTATTAAAATAGTAAAGACATAAAGTTCTATGAAAAATATTGTGATTCGAAAAACGATATATTATAGTGAGTGTTCTTTGCACAATAAAGACTACGATACAATCTAGTAAGACGATGCCGTATATAGAATATCTATTTTGCTCTCGAAGAATTGTCAAAAGAACGGTCAAGTGGGCCAAGGGCATCCCTTATATAATACGAAAATAGGAACGTTTCATGGCTGTGATCGAGTTTAAAGACAGAGCACGGCCAGAATCGGAGCTACGTCGCGTATGAAATTTCGCATGGAAATTGCAATAGCTCGCACGTTCCATTTGCCTGATGCGCTCACTCGCCTGAGTCGACCTCCAACGTCTCTGAATTGACGAAAAGCAGTCGTGCGGCCGATGCTCGAAAGCACGGAACGTTGAAATTGTCCTGTCTCGACCGGGAGTGATGCACGAAGGATTCGGCGGTAATATTCAGGAAGTAGGATGAGACTTGCTATTGGCCGCAATTTGGTTTCGTCTTCATGGACGGACGAGTGGACGACTTGGCCCGTAAAATTGAAAGACAGGATTATTTCCTCCTTTTACTTCATGTTGACCACCATCCTATAGCTACCCTATTACTTTTGTTATACGTTCCTTTTTGTGTCGTGCATCTCGAAAGACTCGCGGGACTAATAAAAAGCTATTTCCTTGGAAGATAAACTGTTACGGTGCACTTATGGGAACGATAGTCAAAGATCGTCAAGGATATTGTTCCGAAAATTAACTAGACTGTCTGGAGCATCTTTCCTTCAAAAATAGGGTCTATAAAATACGCGATATCTTTCTGATGTCAAATATTACGAAAATTATAATTTATTTATATAAACTGAATATACAGGTCGAATATATGTTTGTAATTTTTTTCGTATTGTAGATTTCAATATTTTATCAACACACTTCAATTATATTATATTGCTCCCTGATTTTAAAAGTAACACAATTTAAAAAATGTGATTTGCAAGTTATTATCATGAATGAGTTAGGTAAATATTATCTTATCAATTATCAAAAGTGATTTAACTTTTTGAAAAATCGCAAATTAAAAAGGTTTTTGAAGGATTGTGAAATAAAAATGACAAAAATGACATTTTATCATATTAAGAATATATCTTTTTTTCAATATTATTTAATTAATCAATTTTCTGCTAAATTGAACAATTTTTTTTCTCTTTTTCTGAGAAACTCAATTTTTAGAGTGAGGGAGCGATATCATAAAAGAAGTTAAAAAAATGTCAACAAAATTTTTCTAATTAGTTAACATTATTTATATAGTTAAATCTCTTCCGAATATTTTTTTTAATATTAACGTATCCTTACTGTATGTGTTTATGATTCAAAATTTTAGTTTTGTGGCTGCAAATCCAGAAATTTGTCCCATAGATTCGAGCACGGTAAAATCTAATTTTCTACCATGTTACAAAACACTCCTGGGCATTTTACAATCAAGAAAATTAAGACGTTTAATAGTGTAAATTACCGAATGTTTCGGGTACGTGCAATACAGGTATTCCATGTAAAACTCACGTTAGACGAGTCGTTTGAATGCAGACTTAATGATCGCGCCGTGCAGGTTTCCGCATTCCCTTGGTCTCTGCACTAATTAAGATGTGATGAAATTAATTTTCCAGTTTATTAAATAATTAACTCGTATCTATATAGAACTATCTCGACTTCATCTTCCTTCCTTTTCATCTCTCTTTCATCTCATTTTTCTTTTTCTGAATCTTATTCCACATTATTAGTAGTGTAATTAACATTTAAGGAGACCAATCATAAAGGAATTTAAGCGCCTCTTCATCATCCAAAATAATTTTATAATTTTGTACACTTTTATATTTCCAATAATAATATACATATACCTTAAGAAAATATAATGAAATATAATGCAAAACAGATGCAATTTTAATGTTTTAATCCTTACTTTATATTAATATATATATATGTATATATTACTTTTCTCTGCCTTTTTTCTTCCTCTTTTGTATCTTTTTCTACCTCTTTTCATTCTGCGAGGACATTAGTTACGCCAGTGCCGGATGCTGCAAGCGCGTTCTTCGCTCGAGATTTAAATCGAGTAGCGGTACCCTCCAAGTTCGCGTTTCCCCCAGAGAACTTGATAATCCCCGCCCGGTAATTATTTAAAGTTTTCGACGTCTGGATCTTACGCGGGTGCCGCCGACGAAAAGGGGAGTGTCTTCGAGCAAAGGTTTACCTTTGTTACTTCTAACTGTATGCAATGGAATATTTAATTAAGCTTACGCCCTAATGCAATAATTGAGGCAACTTGTGGTGGAATATTTAACACTTAACCAAGCTTAAAACTAGAATAGAGCTACTTCTTCTCACCAAGTGTTATAAATGAATACGTTTGTAAATGAATAACTTGGCTTTCTATTGATTTATATTTGCTGTTATGGTACGCTATTTACACAAAGCTTCCAATATTATTTAAAAAGCGTATTAAATATTAATGTTATAAATATCGGAGAGCTCTTTTTTTCCATTAGTATATGAATTAATAATGTGTAAATGACGAGTTGACCAAATGGTTACTAAAAGCATATTTACTACTTTATTATATTTAATATAAAAATTCATATTAAATTTCAGACAGCTATTAAAAAAAATTATCGTATAGATAATAAATAATTATTATATGGCAGAGAATATCTTTTTACAAAAAACTTTACAGATAACTGTTCCATCACATTATTAATTATTAAATAACGTAATTATTTTATGACATCCGAGAGTTACTTGCAATTGAGCCAAATATTTACAACAACGTGGAATAAATAATAAATACGCCAATGTGAATATGTATGTATTGATCGGCTATACACATAAGCATGAGAGGAAACCGATAATATACATTCGTGTAAATATATTATAATTCAATATCAGTCCGCGGTATCTACATAAAAATGATTTTCTCTCATATGACAACAAAATAATATCGTGTGAGTGTCTCGTCGTATACATATAAATTATATTATTAGCCAGAGTATATAAATTGTTTTCACGTGCAGCAAAATAGTAGTGTGGACAAAGTTCAGAGTTATTTTTAATTATTACTTTTTTATTATCACTACATTAAAAATATACAATTACAATGCATGATTTAGTATCAATGATAAAAATATGTACAGTAACGCTCAATAATTATCTTGATAAAGGAATTTTTCGAAATGCTTTCATTTATAACGCTCCATTCATAAATTAATTAAGTACTTAAACGAAGATAGCTTTTATAATATCAATATGTTATAATAGAAAATTAAAGGTGTATTATTTTTTATAAGACTGGAAAAAATATAAATCCAATTTAAACAGATTTAAAAGTATTTAGATAAAATATTAACTAAATAAATGTTTTTCTTTATATAGATAAATATTTTTACTTGAATATTGTTTTAATACTCCGTCAACATATCCTTTTACATTAATTACTATTCTTTGATATTGAATCAATTAATTTAATCAAAAAGTGTATTTTTGTTCATTTTTTGCTTAAACTTTAACTCTTTTGATACAAAGGGTGACTTAATTGTATGTTGGTCCGATTCGCTATATGATTAGATTTGTCTCAGATTATTTTATAAAAACTGAAAATAAAAAAGTATAATAAGATTTAAATATATAATGATAGCTGACAAATTTGATTTACAATTAGCATAAATTATTAAAAATACTCCATTATTTTTTATTTAAATCCTTTCTCTTAATGAAAAGACTGCTAATATCTAACAATTTATGCACTGAAAGAGATAAACCTTGAATCACTCTATATTCCCGTACAGTGAACAGAGGATTCCCTCGAAATGTATTCATTTTAATCGGCCGTATGCATATTAACCGAATGGTACGGCTAGCCAAACAAGAGAATCGGGAATATTTCCCGCCTATTTCTCTCCATCCTTTCTCGCTTATAACGAGAGAAGGCTGGTGATAATTCTCACCATCCGTTATTGTTTTATATATTTCTCCCACGTATCGGTCTCACGAAGATAAGGAAGAGAATTGAGAATAATAGGGAAGAAACAAAACGTCCCCCACGC